ACTTATTTCTCTAATTTTGTAAAACCCTAAGTTCTCCACTATGGAAAGTTAACCCTATTGTTGAGATTAAATGTAAAATCATGAATTCTTGTGTAATTATATGTCGTTGATATATATGCTTTTTCAGTTCATTGTTAGTGTTTGATTTCCATGTTTAATGCTTGTTGTGGCTTGATTCCATGACTTGATTTTTGGTTCTTGAGGTATTGAGAAATATTTCCTTAACCTAGAAATTGATTTGTTACTCATCAAGTTACAATCCCTCGAATCGTTAAGAAGCAAAACATTCATTAAGTTCAAGAGTTTAAAATTACTAATGAATCAAGTTTCATTCCTAGATACAAGCATCCATTAGGCCTAAAAATTTATGTTCTTTGACTTGTAACTTGCTCCTTAAGTCATATTTTCACTCAGCAAATCAAATACTACAAATTTGAGTTGTCATTTTTGTCCAATGAGTAGCTAGCTCATCCAACAACTCAGTCTCGTGCCCAATGATGGGTTTTTTTTGTTGTCTAGGAGTGATCTATGCCAATATAACCTTATAAGTGAGTTCTTTCTTCATGTTTGCAATGCGGGGTGTGATTCTAGTGCCTTCAAGATAAGTATTTATCTAAACATTATTATTTCTTATCCAATCATGCTTAGATGAGTTCCAACTTGTAATATCTCTTTTAATTCAAAATTTTATAATAATTAGTTTATAAGTCTTCTTTACTTAACTTTTTTTTAACTAATGTAAAAATTAAACTTAGAATTAAATTTTCAACGTGATTAAAAATGTATGTTTTTTATATGTAGAATGGGTCTAAGAGATAATTATTTAAAGTGTGTTATTGATCTAAAGATGATAATATATTCCTTTTAAATATTGAATAGAGTTATGTTTAATAGTGAAAATGTATTGCAATTGTGTTGTGTCCTCTCAATCCTACGGGGTACTTTTGCAAAGGGTACTTTTAACATGAACCTCTCGTGTAGTGTGTGTGCACACCCAACTCTTCAAACTTTTGACTTCAAAAAGGGTCATGTCATGGCCATCGGATGATACATGAGATGAGACATTGGTGTCTTTTTGTTTATGGCCATCTTCACCTCTCAAGAGTCACAAGAGACCAAGAAGGAGCAACTATTTTCTTATCTTAGTTTTTTTTGCCAACTTTCATTTTTTTAAATACCAATTTCAGTTATGTTTCTCACCGAAGAATAAAGAATATAGTAAAAACAAATAGCTTTAAAGTATCCATAGAAAAAGAATATAATAAAGCGTATAAAGTCAGCGACGGACAAATATATAAAGATGAGCAACTCGACTTCGCGTATTTCAAGACCAAGAATAAAAACATTTTCATTTTTTCCTTTTTCCTTTTTGTAACCCATTTGTGCTCAATAACGTCATAAATTATTTATTAAGTTTTTAATATATGTAACATGTTAACACATATATTTTTTTCTTGGCAAATTGAATTAATAAATGAACACGAAATAGAAAAAAAAAAGTGTATAATTTTGATGAAGGTGATTGTGACTAGAACTCTCTTGGTTGGTGCAATAGTCACGAGAATAAAGAAAAGCACTGACTTGAAGTTTGTCTTTCCTAATAAATTGCTTTCTTTCATTTTAACATCTTCACAATGCAACGTTGGTTCTTGCCTATTGGCATGCCTTGTCAATTTTGTTTTCGACAATTGAAAAGACTGCTGATAAATTAATCCATACGCTAATTTTAAAATGACATCAAATACAAGAGTAGAAGGTGTTCAAGATAAAAAAAAAAATTAACATTTTGATAATGAAAAAACGATCGTTTAAAATAATGATATAATAATATAAATAATTAGTCAAATGAAGTTTTCATCAGATTCTTTTTTATATAATTGTTTCAACCACATGAAGATACAAATATTTTGTTTTGAAAGCGTACAAAGTGCCAATAATGTATAGTGCACCGACGGGGTGGCTGCGAAAGTGAATGTCTAATAAATAATAATCATGTCTACGACCATATTATTATAAATATTATCTCGTTAATTATATGAGATTTTTTCTGAAAGCTTATTGTTAATGTTCATTAGGTTTGTCAAACTATTTAACAATCATATATTAGTTACATGAAAGGGAAAGAATCTTCTATCTTTCCGCAACAAATATTATTATTATTATTAAACTTCTTTTTTAACATGGACCACAAAAAAAAAAAGTTTCTTGTTGGTTTCATCTCAAATTGTATTATGGTATTGCTGTGAAATGTGAGTTAGAGAATAACATCGTTTCAGAACACTTTAGTTTGATGAGCATTTGAGTAACCTTTGCCTTTGGAGAAAGCTTAAATCCTGAAAATTCCCAAACTTTATGACCTAAAAACTTAACCAAGGGAATAAGAGACAGCAAATCTCTTTACAAGAAAGAATCCCCTTTTAATTAGGATAAAAGGATAGAAAAGTAATTTGGTCTTTGCATAATCCAACCTAGCTATCATTTTTGAGATTTGATTGTAACTTTTGTTTTAATATAAATTTTTTATTAGATAATTATTTTGATAACATTTTTTTTTTAACTTTTTGAAAGGAAAACAAGTATAAAAGTATGAATGTGATGCTTTTATGGTTATTTGCCAAAACTAAATGAATTTAGTATTAATAGAATTTTGTTAGGAATATAAAAGGTGGCTTTACCTTAGAACCTGTGACCCCACATCCATGGGCCCACCACTAGCCTACCTTCTTCATCAATGGTGGACCCAAAAAATGGTTCTATGGCCAAAGGGTCCCACACACATGGGGACATACCTTTCACTTATTCCACCATGTTATTTATTTTCTCTTGCCAATTTTGCCTACTCTTTGGATCCTTTTCATCATCACTTTTTTTATTGTTTAATAATGCCCAACACCTTAGTCCTAAAGCTCACTACTCAACTTGGGCATTTTGTTTTCTTAAAATCAATAAATGTGGAACCACGTGTTTCTAATGTCTAGTTTAGTGGTAAAAACAGACCAAATAAATTTTGTATTTTTACAAACAAGAGGAACATTTTCTTTCTTCGTGGAGTGGAATGTGTTGTACCATCTTTAGGAATGCAACGTGGATATCAATTTGAGAAGCATGCAGTCATAAATGTCTAACAAAATAATTAAAGACAATATTATCATATCCGAAAATCATCATGTCTTAACAAAAACTATAATATCATAATGTTTGTACTGTTTTTGTTTGAGATTATGACACTCGTTACCACAAACAAAATTTTACATAGATCACCGTAATAGCGTCAGATTTTCATTGGTTTTCATTTTATGAGTTTTTTTTTTTATGAAATTGGTGTATTTTTGGACTAAAATTACGTAATTAGACAGGTTTTAAAAATATTACAGAGTTCATTGAATTATATAGTTAGGATAAATTACAATATTGTCCACTTTAAAGTTTCACTTATCATGATTTTTTCCCTAAAAAGATTTATACATAGAAGAAAGAAAATATATTTAAACATGTCATTTTTTCATGTTGTATGGTTCATTTCCTAAATAAAAATAAATTGGAAGAGATCTTATATCTCTAGTTCACATTTTTTTTATCGTAATGAAATTGTGTGCAGGTACACAACTTCTTCTGAAATCGTGTTTTAATGCATGCAAAGTGTAATATTTTTAAAAACTGTTCATTTACGTGAATTTGGCCTAAAAATACACCAATTTCGTTAAAGAAAAACCCCACTTTACGAATTAATTGGTAAAAGTAAATAATAAGCAGTTAGAAGTGCGATAAAAAAGGATTATCGAGATGGTTAGTTGATCAAATGTTTATGTGTGTTCCTTAATCTTAAAAAAAAATGTATTCATATATGCTTTAAAATTTAAAACTGCCCGAAAGATTTGTTTTACAAGTGTTCAAAACATCCACACTTTTCGTTCATTTGATTGAAATAGACTTTTTGAATCCCTATATATTCTGAAATGAATGAAAAAATAGTCAATAAATACACGAAATACGAGGAGAAATACCAGTAAAATACATTTATTTTACATTTTAAAATTTATTTTTAACCTAGAAAAGTTGATTTTAGAAAGAATGTATTGGACTGAGAAAGTTGAAGTCCTAAGGGTTTATTTACTTACAGCCCAATCAGCTTAAAAATTTGACACTTTACATCACATGATTACAAAAGTGAACCATTAAAACAAAAAGTTTTGGTTATATTTATGGCTTCTTCAAGAGTTTAATTAATGTGCCTGCATATCTTTTATGCTAAATTTACCAATCTGTTTTCTTGAGAATGACATCAAACAACAACTAATGTTTCTCTTGAGCTTTGTGAAATAATGGAGTTGTGTTTGTGCAAACCAACTAACCAATTTGTTTTTTGTTATATAAGGACCGTGACCATGACAAGCTACCATTTTTTTTAATCTCTTATTAGCCTTTTCGCATGCTTCCTACAAGCTTTTGAAAAATAAAATCAAAAGAAGCTTGCACTAATAGATTATTTCAAAAGCTCGTACTTGATTCAAAATTTAACCATTCCAATCATTCAAACAAAAACCTTTACCTTTTGTTATTATCAAATTAAAAGTCCACCAATTTTTTTTATATAGCGCTTACTATAAAGAGTTAATTTAATGCACATTAAATACATTTCAAATTATTTAATAATTATAAATACCTATTTGATATTGACCCATGTTATAAATGCAGAAAGTATTTATCTGAAACAGGTTAGTACTATCACATGTAGTGATATTTCATATTAATGGGTAAAGCGTCTATTCGATGATTCAGTAATTAAAGGATATGATTTTTTTTTTAAGAATATATAATTAATCTATTTCTTAATGATTAACTTTTTTCAAATGTAATATAAACTTTATTTCAACTGTATAAACAGAATTTAAATGTGTATATAATTAAATTATGGTGTCTTACGTTAGGCAGGCACGTGAAATGGTGGGTGTGAGAGGGTGCCACGTTAAATGCAGAAAGGAGCTGTGGGAGGAGCTTGGTTTGGGTGGAGAGATTCATAACATGACTACACATACATGCATTACATACATAAGAAGTGAGTATATAATAAGGTCACTCACATTCACATAACAATACATATTCATAAACCCTTTTCATCTTCTTCTGCGTCTTCTTCAGCCTTTTCTTCCTTTTTCTTCCATTTGGGCCAAAACAACACCATTGCCTCCCATAATTGCCCGACTCAATTCCATGGCGGCAGGCTCAACCTCACCCTCCGATCGACCCACCATGGCCCCTCCCCCAATGCTCATCTCCGACTCAGTCGCCAAGGACGCCATACTCGCTTGGTTTCGAGGCGAGTTCGCTGCAGCCAACGCCATCATCGACTCCCTCTGCGCTCACCTGGCCACCTCTTCCCACGACTATGATGCCCTCTTCGCAGCCATCCACAACCGTAGGCTCAACTGGATCCCCGTCCTCCAGATGCAGAAGTACCACTCCATTGCCGACATCACCCTTGAGCTCCGCAGAGTCTCCGACAGAAACCCCAATGTTGACGACAAATCCAAATCTGACGAGAAAAAGACCTCGTCGGAGATTTTCGTCCGAAATGGTGTGGCTGATGATCACGAGGAGTATGAATCCCCTGAGAGCGAGATTACTGATTCAGGTGAATAAATTAATAATTATTACTTTTTTACTTTTTTTTTAATTCCTCCAAATTGATGGAATTTAATTTTAAGAATTTATTTATGTTATTTGCTTTCATTTAAAACCAAAGCCCTGGAACACTGATTGATGGAATCTTATGAGCAATTATTTATTAAACACTGATTGAAAATTTAAAATTTCTTTGGGAATCACATGTTAATTACTGAATGTAAATTCAAATGTTTTGAGAATCATTTGTTAATTACTGATAAAAATTGCAAAGTTTTCACCAGGGTCTCTTGACTGCAATAAAGCATGAAACTTTATCTGTTTCTCTTGAAAAAGAGTGATTTTCTTTTTGTTTTCATTCTTTTTTGTGACTCCAGTTTCAGAGGAGGAAATTCCATCTGTGTTGTCAGATGATTGTATGGCTCAACAAATAAATGGGATGTGCGAATTTGTTTTACTGTTTCCTTTTGTGATAGTCAAATTTATGTTGCACCAAAAGTTTTACACCTGCTTAAGTTTAAAGCAAGGTAAACCATAGTTTATGATTTTATTTTGTACTATCAAATATATTTAGGGTAAAAAAGGAACAGGGACAATAGTATTATAGTAAATTAAAGTAGTTAGACACGCAGGGCATGTGGTCGATAATTTCTGCATTACTTAAATGGGGTTTAGAGTTTTGAGAGCCACCAGTCATGAGGAAGCTTTAGGTGTAACTGTTTGGTGAGTGACAAATACTATTAAATGGCACACTAGGCTTAAGATTGAAATTGGAAGCACAGATCTAGAACTGTGTGTGCGATGATTTTTATTACAGACAGTGGGACCATAATGATGTTTCTTGACGTCACTCTTTTATGTCGGGCCGGGTTTGGGCATTGGCTTGACCTACTAGGTCATCCCCATCATCCTTTTGAGTTGTGGCCTGTCCTAGATTGCTAGTTAACTTTGTCTTGTTTGCTCTTGGCTCAGGGATCCAAATCACATGAATGATTTCTAATTAAGTTGCATGATGTATATATTTTACCAAACACTCTATAGCCATCGGGACTGGGTCTGAAAACTTTGCATGGGGATGTATATGTCTGATCATAATTCTTAAAAATGAGTTATGTACATTATTTGAAATATAAGTAAAAAAAAAATAAGCATATTGGTAAAACATTCTACTATAAAAAGTTTGGTTGAAGAAAAGAAAAAACAGTTGCAATTACTTGAGGTGAAAAAAGAGGATATGTTGAGTTGGCTGGTTGTATTTATTTGGAAAATAGATATGTTATTAATGTTTGCGGTGGCCTCCTCTTTTTGGCACTAAATATGCAATGTGAAAGTGGACTCACATTGGTGGTGGAAGACGACAAATGTTTCTTGACAGGTGTATGTCCAATGGTAACGTCCACAAGAGTTGACTAAATCATAATAATAAAAAGACAATAAAGTAAATAGTATGCAGAACCTATGAGATTGATCATTCATTTAAGTTATCTGGGAAAATGTGGCGGGTGTATTTATGTTTAGGATGAAAAGAATTTTGTCGTTTTCGGAGTATTGAAATTTGCATGGAATTTTATTTTTGGTTCGATACGCAGGATCTCAAGAAATGCAGGCTAATCCCATGAATATTAATTTATGTTCCAATCATGAACATTGTGAAGGACGTTCTGCGCAGTTTAAGTTGACTAAAGGTTTCAGTGCAAAAGAGTCAGTCAAGGGACATATGGTAAGTTCTTTATCTCGATGATACACTAAAAGTTACATTTGTTTTAATTACAAATAAGCTGATTAAGAGCTGATTGAAATTGGCAGGTGAATGTAGTAAAAGGATTGAAGTTATATGAAGACATTTTCACAGATTTAGAACTATGCAAGCTGACAGACTTCGTGAATGAGATTCATGCTGCTGGCCAGAATGGGGAACTGTGTGGTAAAATGCCATTGATCTCTGAGTGTCTGTGTATTCTTGTTAATGACAATTTTTTAGACTAATGTTTGTTTTTGTTTTGACAATCATAATTTGTGTCTAATAAAATTTTTGTTATGACTATATATTTTCTTCCTTGTTTTTCTTTTACTTTTCTTTGTCCTCAATCACATGATGTGATCAAACATAATGTCTAGTACAAGTTGTTTTTATTGTCTACATTCTTAAAAATACTAACGAATCTTCATATATGGATGTAGGCGAAACTTTTATATTATTCAACAAGCAGATAAAGGGAAACAAGAGAGAGCTGATTCAGCTGGGTGTTCCAATATTTGGACAGATAAAGGAGGATGTAAAAAGTAAGATTATTAAAGAAATAGTCATCTCATATAACTGTTTTACTTTACAATATCAAATTTGATTATCCTGATTTCTGATTTTTTATAAATGACTTTAGTGATCCTCTTACAATTATGTTTTACATTTTTAACTTTTTTTTTAAAGGCAATATAGAGCCAATTCCTCCACTTCTCCAAGGTGTCATTGATCACCTGATTCAGTGGCAGTTACTTCCCGAGTACAAAAGACCAAATGGTTGTATTATCAACTTTTTTGAGGAGGTAGACATTGCATACTTTTCTTCTTACTCCTCTTAAGTTCTATCCACTATTAGTCAAATAAGTACTATAATAATTTACAGTGGGCAATGGAATAACTGTTTAGAAATATGTATGTAATTGCATAATTTTTAGGGGGAGTTTTCTCAACCATTCCTCAAACCACCGCATCTGGATCAACCTGTATCCACTCTTCTTCTCTCTGAATCAACAATGGCTTTCGGACGTGTACTTATGAGTGAAAATGATGGAAACTACAAAGGACCTCTCATGCTCTCATTGAAGCAGGGGTACATATTAAAGAACTTATACTCTTTGCTGTCCTATCTTCCATTTATTAATTAAGATTCTAGTCACAATGCTGGATACAATGGAAGAAGTACCTTCAACATTTATAGGACAGAATGTAAGTGAAAAAGGTGAAGTGCCAAATTTTTAGAGAATGCAACTATATGTGCATATCATACTCATAATTGGGTTAGATTACATCTCTGCTTTCTTTTTTGTCACAAAAGGAATTATATATATATATATATATATATATATATATATATATAAGACATAATAGAAACAGAAGCATCTAAAACTAATCTTATTAGGTGCACATCTACGCACATAACAGAACATTATCAGCTTTTTGTTTCTTCTTGAGTATCAATCAAACGTGCATACAAGGAAGGGGAAGGACAGAAATAGAAGGGTCCAAGGGGAAGGACAGAAATAGAAGGGTCCAATCTAACCGTGTATAGTTTACGCCCTTTATGTCACTAGTGTAGTAATTATATATTGTTTGCATTATGCATTAGATTGTAAATTCAATAACAAAATAGTCTCATGTTCTAAGTTTAAGCATCAAATTCTAATTGCAAAGCGACTTATTAAAGGCTGAAATTTCTTTTTGAGAATATCAAGTATGATGGTAACATTTGACAGTTAGTCCATAGATTCATGCCGTTTAATTATTAGAATTCGGTTTCATGTCTCACTGACGAGATAAGAGTTTTGTTATTAGTATTTGATTTCATTATCCAAGTATGGCCTGCATCCAGATTTACTGATAGGATTGACACAGAGGGAGACTTCAATTTTTTTTTTATTATTATTATAAGTATGTCAAGAAAATGTATAAAAAAAATTCTGTTTTATGTACAAAAAATTGCAGGATGTATTGAGCTTATTATACACAATAATGTCTTTTAATATGAATAACAACATCCAGTAACTTGGACTAAACACTTTTAATTTTGTAGGTCTCTTTTAGTGATGAGAGGAAACAGTGCTGACATGGCAAGGCATGTAATGTGTCCATCCCCTAACAGAAGGGTCAGCATCACCTTCTTCAGAGTGAGGCCAGATTCCAATCAATGCCAGTCACCAACTCCTGCTATGACAAATGCGATGACTCTGTGGCAACCTGGCATTCCTAGTCCATATGCTTTGCCAAATGGTGCTCTAAGTAGCTATGAGGGTATGGACATGATGCCAAAATGGGGAATGCTTCGCGGTCCAATGGTGATGCTAACTCCAATGCGTCCTGTGGCACTGACTCCTCGCAAACTTGCTGGTGGTGGTACTGGGGTGTTTTTGCCATGGAATGTGCCATCTAGAAAACCTGTCAGGCATCTTCCCCCGCGGGCCCAAAAAGGGAGGCTTCTCACATTACCTTCACCAGTTGAACCCCAAATGGGAGAATCCACTTCTGAACCTAGCAGCATCTGTGTTGAAGGATAAAGACATGTTTAGTTCTGAAGCAGCCTTGGGTTTGAAAAAATGTGAATCAAGAAAGGTGGCTTCCGCGATTCAGCTATTTGCTCTATAATATGGAGCATTTTATCTTGTTGTACAAACATGGCCCCACCCCAGGTGCTGCAAGAGCAGTTTGGTTTTTTTTTTTTTTTTTGACTCTTCCCTTTGAATAGATTAGAATCTAGTGATGTTTCAAATCGGTTTTCCATGTTAGCCAATCATGGCAAGAGCTCTAGTAGAGTACTAAGCCTTTCAAATTTGAAGAGTGTGAATTATATCTGACGGTAGCATTTTGTAAGAATGATATTCTAAGTTAATTATATTTTGAGAAAAATCAATTTGCCTCTAGCATGTTTAGTGAAGGATCATCTACTTGCTGTTGTTATCTATGCATTGTAAATTTCTTTTATCGGCTAGACAAGTTGCTACCTCTGGTCTTATAACTGGACACTCAACACACTTTCCATGATTTATATTATTCATACATCACTCTTTATAACATTATCATCTTTTATACAGAAGTTGACTAAGATCTATGCAACTCAATTCTCAATAATAGACTAAGGTTCCATTTCTTATTTCCAGGATATCCATGTTGGTACTAAGCAGCTCATGCTATACTGCCTTTTCCTGTAATATATAATTCATAATTCATACTAATGTTCATTCTTGATTACAAATTATGTCTGTTTCTTAATTTGCTAAAATTTATGAGATGGTGAACAACATTTTGAAGGTTCTATCTGTATGCCTTATAGCAGTCCAATTTTAAAGGTATTCAAAACTGGCAGGACTTTCTGTTTAGGAGTGACTGTGAGGTGTACTCTATTTCCGACTTTTTCTAATTTGATTTAGTAATTTCTTGATTTTCTAATTTGATTTAGTAATTTCTTGATTTTCTAATTTGATTTAGTAATTTCTTGATTTTTAAAGACCTGCGGGAAACTCTTTGTTTATTCTGTTTTGATTTGATTGTTGACCATTACTCATGTTTCCAGATAGTGATAGTAACTCAATTTCATAAATGACTATGTAACTCAATTTCATAAATGACTATGTAACTCAATTTCATAAATGACAACGTAACTCAATTTCATAAAGGAGTATATTACCGGTCGTGCTATAATCAGTTAGATCCATAAGTTGTCAAATAAGGGAGTCTCAAACATGGGATAGTAAATGTGTCGTGCTGACAATGGTCGCCATATATTGATGAATAACCAAAATAAGAAACAAACAAAGAAACAGTTACATTTCATGCGTTTCCGGGACAGAACAAATAACATTACAACCTCCATCCCAGTTTCTAAAACGTATAATAGTAACACTAACAAATTTCTTTATGTGAAAATGACACTTACACCATACCCTTCCATTGCATCAAACATTTCAAACCTTGGGAGGCTCATCATCATCATCTTCAATGTCCCAACTCAAGTCTTCCTCTTCTCCCGCAGCACTAAATCGCTTCCGCAAATCAACTTTGCTTGTACCACCACTATGCGATGTTTCCTTCACATCAATACTGCTAAGATCCTCAATATCATCCCAACCAAGGTCCTCCTCATCCCCATCCTCATTTGCCGAGTGCTTAATTTCAACAACTGAGGAGTCATTACTTTTACTGGAAGATTTCTCATGACCACCCTCCGTTTCCTTCGCCTTCTCATCAGTTTCAGCTGCAGGATCATTCTTGCTCACACCAACATCCACTTTTGATGCCTCATCAACACCAGCCATCTCACCAACAATTTCAGATTTCTCAATATGTGGCTCCTCAACGGACTTAGCTATCTTGTTGCCAACTTGCTCACTTTGCAATAAATTGTCTCTCTTTTCTACTTTAGACTCTTCTTCCACGTCCAATTTTTTAGTTCCCCCTTCATCGCCGGCAACAAGCAACTGGGTATCCACACTGTCCCCACCAACCTCTTTATTAAAAACCACAGGTTTAGCAACACCTCCATCCTCATCTTCATTATCATCTTCAACTTCCCAACTCAAATCCTCATCCTCCCCAGAAATTCCACTCACAAGCCTAGCCCTCAGGTCTTCAGCTTTCTTGAGCTTATAAACCTTATAGTAATACCTATACCAGAAAGTGTCGTGATCCACACTGCTCGGAACAACTCTTTTGTAAACACTCTCCATATTATCATTCTCTCTGAAAAGCCCCTCCATTTCATCACTTTTCCCCTCCAACGAAAACCCTAATTTCCATTCATTGAACTCACTCACATCCTCGGGCTCCTCGGAGTAAGTGCTAACATCACCCTGAATCGCACGAATCTGAGCGTCGAACCTACTATACCGCGTCAAATCCAGGCTCTTCCTATTGGCGCTATTATTATCAGAATCCGAATCCAGATCGACAGCGAGGATAGCGTCCTTACCTTGAGATATGATCTGAGCCGTTCCTTTGACGACGGTGTTTCCGAACTCGTCAATGACGTGACCCACGGTCCCGAGAGAACCCTGCGCCACCTCAATTTCCTTCTTCAAACCGGTGCTGAATTCCTGCAGATCGCGACGGTAGGTCTCGATAATGGATTCCGATTTAGTTGTTAGGGTTTTCATGAAGCCGCCGAAATTCCAACCGTCGCCGACACCGACAACGGAATCGGTGGTATTCGATGGGGGCGGGGAATCGGGATCCGGGTCCTGGTCTCGCGGCTCATTGCTGGATCCGGATTCGGGTCGCGGAGGATCCGGGTCATCAAGGAAAACGGATTTGAAGAAATTCATACGGAAGTGGAGAGAGAGGGATGATGGAGTGATGAGTAAGTAAGAAATTGAAGCATAACTAATTTATGATTCTAGAAAAGTGCGTTTGAAGCTTATGTGTTCTTTTACACTTCTAAGATAAGGTGAAGCAAAAATGCATTCTAATATTCTTTTTCTTTATTATTATATAATTCAACCAGTATCATTGTTTTTTACATATTTTTAGGTTGAGTTTGGTACTCAACTCAGTTCATCTAACACACTTTTGCCTTATTCTACTTACGTTACGAACCAAACTCGGTTTTTTTTCTTATCTTATTATTGGTTGGTGTAAAGTGTTCCATCACCACATGAAATTATCTATGGCAACCAAAGAATATATTGCTTTTAAAAATTTATTTTTCCTTTACCCTATTCATTAAAAAACAATTAAAAGTAATTTTTTATTAATATTATCTTGATAGGTTCTGATTTATCAGCTTAATTTCTAAATACAGATATTAAAACATTAAATAATTATTTTAACATCCCATTTTACTATTGAATAAAATATATTAAAAGTTTTAAATTTATTTTTTATCCCACTTTCTTCTTCACAAACGCTGCCACTGTTTCCTCCTTTCGGATTAATTATTCCGGTGTAGACGTTGGTGAAGGAAAAATTTGGAGACGGAGAATAAAAAAAATTACATTTTTAATTTAGTATTTCCGAATATGAAAATGTCTTTCAAAACACTAATCCAAAAAAATGTTTCTATATTCTAGATTCAGTATTTTGAAAGATATTTGTGGATCTAGTTTCAGAAGGTAAAAAAAATACATAATTCAGAAGGTGAAAAATTATATTTTAGATTGAATGTTGAAGAAGATATTTTTAAATTCAGAAATATATTATAAAATACTGATTCGAAAAAGTATTTTTATATTTTAAATTGAGTGTTTGAAAAAAAAATAGATTTGAGAATACTTTCTAGAATAGCCAATCCCTCCAAATATAAAAACATTTTATAGAATAAGTGTTCTCGAAGAGATTTTCATATTCGAAAATATCTTCCAAAATGAGTGTTTTTGAATGTATTTCCAAAAAATATAATCCAGGATATATTTTGTTTTATTTCAGATCAGGTGTCTCATAAGGTATTTGAAAGTGTTTTTCGAAACATTCAATCCGTATAAAAATATTATTTTGGTATATTTTGTAAGACATTTTCGGATTCAAAAATACCTTCCGAAACATCCCATTACTTTATATTAATACCTGAGTAGATTTCTTATCAAACATTTTTCTCACAAAATGCGTTAATGAGTTATATGAAAGGTTTTCTAAACACGTTCGTGTTATTATTTTAAACAAATGTTCACGAGCTCTCACTGTCACGTACAAATTGGTGTTTTCTATAAACATGATAAAATATATAAACATTATTCTAAAAACATGTATTGAAAGAGATATTACTAAATAAATAATCACTAAAAAAAAGTGTTTTAGGAAAAGTCCTACACGAGCTAAACAATATCTTGTACCAAACTATGTTTTTATCCAACAATAAAACTTTTATGAACTGTTTGGTATTTATACTAGAATCCTTAAACGATTAAATCTTGCTTCAGCATTAGAAAATTTGAAAAACTTTTAGTTACTCTCAAGCTTCATAGAATCATAAGCTTACAGTTGTAAGAAGAGAAAAAACTCTAAGAGTCTGTTAAATTGAATTGTATTGTAAACACATCCTCTCTATGAGAGTAATCGTCTAAGGACTTGTAAGCGATCTGATTGATTGCATATTATGAAGATAATACAAACACTTAACACTTAACTCGATGGAGTTAAACGGTAGCTAGATGAGTTTGTCTAGTGGAAACCATGAGTGGGTGAAACTCAACTAGATATTGTATGAAGAAGATACCGGATTATCTAAGGATACTAGGAGTGATGAAGAATACTGCACAACCAAAAGCGAATGATACTCGGTTCTAGTCCGAGTAAGGGGGGTTATTGGGATTGACTAGGATACCAAGAGTGGTGCGAATACTCAGTTTTAATCTTGTTGAAGATTATAGTGAAACCCTCTTAGAGGTCTTAGAGGAGAGGTACACGTAGTTCAGTGGAATGAACCAATATAAAATAACTATTATATGTTATTACTCAGTCTTGCTACACGTTTTTCTTACAAACTCTGCAGTTGCTTATTATCTCAATCGTTTATAAGAGCTTTTGTCACTAAACATTATTCTTATTAAGAGTTATCTTTCTGAAAACACTACAACAGATTTAAGTAGACGATTGAAAAATATTTATTTCAGAACTTGTAGTTATAAAAGATCTCTAACTCAAGTGTTTAACAACTTTAAATAGTTTAATCCTTGTTAAACCACCCTTTTTGACGAAAAGTTTTCTTATAACATTGTATCAATCTCTTCTAGTATTTTTCATGTATTTCACTTTATATACCCTTGTGTGTGTTTTTTGTTTTTGCTATTTCTTCATCTTCTTCCCCAGTTCAAAGCTTCTCATTCTACAAGCTTCTCCCCTTCTTCAAACTTTTCCTTCACCATCATCAAAACCGGAATGGAATGGCCAATCCGAAAGAAGGAAATGTAAAAGGAGGTGCAGCGATTA